GTTTTTTTTTTTGCGGACTGTACATACTTACATGTATTGACCGTTTTTCTAGGTGACCTGAGGCATTTCCAATGCCAGAAACGTTCTTTACTGGTTGTATAGCTAAATTCCAGAGAATGGATAGCGTTCAGAGGTTGGATAGCGTTCCAGAGAATGTCACAACTGATCAAGGTCGTCAGTTCGAATCTGAACTTTTTTCTTCGTTGACTAAGTTTATAGGAAACACAGAAAAACCAGAACAGTAGCTTACAATCCAAAGTGTAATGGAACTATCGAAAGGTTTCATAGAAGCCTGAAAAATGAAATTAAATGCCACCTGACTGAGCTCTGGATGAAAGTTTTACCAACAGTGTCACTCATTCTACAATTGGTTAAATTGGTTAAATTCTACAACAATGTCAACAGTTCGAAATCGTGGTGTCACTCGTCCAATCTTCATCAGTAAAGATCTACAGACTTGTAGCCACGTTTTTGTCAGAATAGACAGTGGCCGACGTCCTTTGGAACAGCCCTATAAAGGCTCATTTGAAGTAATTTCACGAATTGACAAACTTTTTGTTTTAGATCTTAAAGGAAAGAAATCTAGTGTTTCTACCGGCAGATTAAAACCAGCCTATTTTCCGATCTGATGAAGTTGCAGACTCTACCAATCAGTCTCTCATGGTAAAGCCAGAAGTAGCTACTAGGTCAGGAAGGAAAGTTAGAATTGTCCTGCCATTCCGAGCCTAAACGTCTTACAGACTGGAAGGGGAGTACTGTAGAGTTAATTAGATTGAAGGGAATACCGAACCTGAAATCTGTCATCGAGCACATCCTGATTTTTTTTCTGCTCTCGGAAATTAGCTGTTACCGTCTGCAAGATGCAGAAGTCATTTTTGTTATCGCCCACTTTTCCCAGCATATATAAACTCTGTAAAACCACAAAGTATTTACGACTACAACTAATCGATTGGCCGAGTGTGGATGGCTCTAGGATCTTAAGAAGGTGAAAGTTTGCCCCACGAATTCACATGATTCATTGCTGTGTCGAGAAAAATTGATTTGCAATTATGTCTGATATTCACTAATTTCGATTTTGATTTGAGATGCTGCAAATTAAGCAAACGTTTCTGCCTGCAATTGAGTTTTCAATTCCTGTTTCCCTACCGTTTGAGTTGACAGTTCAATCACGCTTTGAGCTACAATGGCTACGTATCATCATCACGAACGTGGCTGAAAGTGATTGACCGAAAGGTCCGTGCGGCGATACTTCAGTGAGCAGACGACGCATGGATTTTGCCACCAACATGTTTAAAAATCTCTAACAAAAGGAAGGAACAACTAGAGCAATATATTTCCAACACTCGAAAGAGTCTGAAAATTGCCATGGAAATTGGGGAAGAACCACCACTCATCGCGGAGCTTGTGCTTGCTGCCCTGAAGAAGAAAATGAAAGATCTGTTTCCTTTATGATAATAACAATCGTAACCATTTTTATTTTTGTGATCATAATAAAAATCATAATTTATGTCACTATAACCATTGCTGGCATAATGACAGCAACAGAGAAATATATGAAGTTTCCTACAACTGCTATTCAACTTCTGTTTCAATAATGAATCTACAGTTACAAATAATTATGATTGTCACCAGTTTAATTATCTAAAAACTACCATTAACATTCGTTGAGTTTAAAATTTATTATTTAAAAGTGAATGTGGGTAAGTTAGGGAAATAGAATTTCTAAATTAATTAGGAAAAACTTCTATTACAGAATGAAATGGATTGAATTCGTTTAATTTAAGTCATCCGTTTTAACCATTCAGAGTGACTTCACTGACTCCGTTTTACAGAACTCGCCCATTTCTTAAAAATCCATTCATTTCACTTTTCTCAGTAAAATCTGGATATTGAAAGTAATTGAGTTTCCGAGAAGATAATAGAATAGCTTGATAGTGTTGTATTTTCATTAAAGAAATGTATACCTTGAAGTATAAGTTTTACGTATTATTTTATAATTGCTTATTAATATGTCCTATATGAATTAATTTCAAATTAAAGAATGAAATATTACATCCCAAGTAATGAATTGTTTTTAGTCTGATTTAACATAGTTTTTGCTATAAAAGTTAATAAATAAAAGTAAGAGAGATATTCCGAATGTTATGACAATAATTAAAATGGGTTCCAATTCTTCACATCCAAGAACAATAGTTGCAAATATGAAAATAAGTACCACGATGAACTGGCCCTAAAATAACAAAAACATAGGCCATTTATAACATATTTAAAATAATTAATAAATTGAAATAATTGGTGAATTAAGAATATTTAAAATGTATCAACCTTTTTCCAAAATGGGAAATTTAGGATGAAGATTTTAATCAGTCAGCAAATTAACAATTGCGATGCCTTTTGCAGTGAAAAGTTCTAAATGGTAGTTGCGAAATTATAGCGGACGGTAGAAAGTTATAACTAACTTGTCCTATCTTTTAAGCTGTTTTTGGAAATTCAGTCAGCAATGGAAATAAAAAAGCCATAGCTAACGCTCCTTACACTTGAAGAAATGCGAGGATTTTAAACTATATATGTAATCTTACCGTGAAGAATTATCTGGGCTTTGGAAGAGGTAAATAACTTATATAGCTTAAAAGTTATAAAACTTTTTTTAAAAACTTTATTGGCAACATTTTTCCACGTACTTGAAAATTATCAAAATCTCTGCGTACTAGTTTCTGCAAATTATTATGCGCCCAGGTGATGCAGCATCGGAGTAAGTTCTTAAATATTAAAAAATTACACCGCAAACGCTTTTCACTTTTACAAAACTGTGGCTTTTCTTCATAGCGTTTTGTGCCCTTTTTCAAAACAAGCACGTAGACAACGCTAGCTTTAAATAGGCTAAACTTAATCTAACAATCTTGAGTAACAGTTGAAAACACTGCGCTGTTTTAAAAATAGCATATTATTCGCATTTCATATTACGACGGAGCCTTCGAAAAACTTCGAAAACAAGCTTCACAGATTAAGCACGCAAAGACGGTTAATACCGAAACTTGATTTTAAAAACAGTTAGGGAAGAGGGCAGTGGTAGTAATTTCGTTAGATTGCCCGATAAATTTCGCTCGAATCATGCATGTCGAAAACAAACGTGTTAAAATAAGACACTCACAGTTGAAGTTCCCTACCTACTTGAAAAGTTATCGTAATTTGAATAGAAAATTATTCTTGTTTGTTAATAATGTGGTGGCATAGGCTCTGAATGTAGAAGTCAGAAAATGATTAAACTCATAATATAGAGATAAGTTTGCTTGAAATACCCTGAACACGAATGAAACTCGTATTAAAGTCAAGCATAATTGTGAATTTATAAATTTGAACTCTTTTGCTGGTCGCAAAGTGCTCACAATTTCGATGGACGATGACACTAAGTTCTGTTTGTTGCAATTAAGAAACATGTATAGTCATCAGACATGGAATCCCAGATTTAATTTCATTACTTCTAGTCGAAATTTTTTTGATCAATAAATTTGGCAATATTATGACGATAAATGATTCTTGTAACGGTCAGGAAACGATTGACACAGTTAGTTTCATCCAGCAGAGTGCACCAGTTAAAATAAGAGCGTTCCACCTAATCATTTGGTGGTCTAAATTTTTATTGGTCTAAATTTTTACAACAGATTTGAGATTTACAACAGATTCGCAATTCGCGATCGCAACGCTCGAGTACGCCGTCTAGCGGGAGCCTGTAAATATCGGACATTAATTTATCACGTTTTCATTTAGTTCCATCAAAGTCATTGACTGAATCAGACGCCATTTTTTAGCAGCAAATAAGAAACAAAATTTCCCTAGGAAAAGGCCGAAGAACTTGAAAAAAATCTCCAGAATATTAGTAAATCTTTCAGGAACAGAACAGAACACGCCAAACATTTGAAGAAAAATTCCTCTTTTTAATTTCTATTATCAACAAACTTGCAACTGATGACTTCCGATTTCGGATACTGTTACAGATGTGTGTATTAAATTAAAATGCATTTCTTCTGTCTTCAATTCATTACGAATTAAAGTGAAGTCAACATTGCTTT